CTATCTCTACCTTTCTTGATATAGGCTCCCTTTAATACATTTATTCTCCTAACCAGGTCATCGGAAGGTTGACGTTTTATTTGACCAAACCATCTAAGGCTACTCTCTAATCTTTTCTACCACTAGAGCTACTCCAACCTTTTTCACATATAAACTTATTTCACATTCTGCCTCTAAGTGTAAAGCCATTCATCAACATGAGCATTCTCATCTCGAAAACTTTTAATTTTATGCTTCTCTTTTAATGGCCAACATTATGCACCATACAGAATTGTAGGTCTCACCACCATCTTATAGAATTTTACCTTAAGTTTGAGGGTACTTTTCATCCACTTCAACCATTCAACTTGAATTCTACGAATAATATCCCCATCTGTTTCATTATCACTTTGGACAATAAACTAGAGATATCAAAAACATGTACTCTTTTTAATGACTTGATTGCCCAAAGTCACAATCCTCCATAGATCTATTGCTACTAAAATTACACTCCATGTATTCAGTTTTAAATTTGCTCGAATGAAAAACCTTTAGACTTTAAGGTTGGCCTCCATAATTGAAGTTTTCTTTCAACTCCCTTTTTAGTCTTATCAAATATCAACAAGAAGATATCATTAGGAAGAAGCATAGACCAGGGCACATCCTCTTACAGATGTCTCGTGAGAACATCCATGATTAAAGCAAAAGGATATGGGCTTAAAGCTGCCCCTTGATGTAATCCAACTAAAATAGGAAAATATTTTGTCAAATCACCTTGTGTTTGAATACAAGTAACATCTCCTGTAATGACTTGGATATAAGCATTATTAAATTTTTTTCTATTCAAGAACTTTCCAGAGCACTTATTTTGGAACTTTATCATATGCTTTCTCTAAATTAAAAAATATTATATGTAGATCCTTCTTATTCTCTTTATACTTCTCCAACAAACCTCTTAATAAATGTATAGCTTTCATTGTAGACCTACCCGACATGAATCTAAATTGGTTTTGAGAAATATTAGTATCACATCATAACCTATGCTAAAATATTCTTTTCCATTGTTTTAATGTATGACACATTAACTTATATCTATACTTCTCAAACTCTTGTGCGTCACCTTTATTTTTAAAAGCAGAAATCAACATATTCCTCCACTCATCTGATATCTTTTTAGTCTTCAAAATAATATTAAAAAAATTAGTAAACCAAGAAATTCCTTTATCTCCTACAAGGTTGTGAAAACCGGACCGGACAACGAACCGAAAGAGAGAGAGGTTCACCGTTCGATTGGTTGAACCGGGGTTGAACCAGATGACGTAATAAATAATAATATTATTAAAAATTAATAAAATAAAAAACATATAATATAAGTATATGAGCATTTAATTATATTTATAAAATTTTAAAATATATAATAAAATTTTATACATATAAATATCATTTAAGAATAATATATTTATAAAGAATAATACTTAATATAATATATACATTTATAATATAAAAATTTATGATCATTAATATAATAAAATATTAAATATTATGACCATTTTAATAATATTTATAAATTTAAAAATATATATAATACAAAACTATACATATAAATATCATTTAAAAATAAATATATTTTTATATTTATAATTAAATTATTTTATAAGAATTATTTAATATAATATATAAATTTATAATATTAATATTTTATAATATAATAATTATAATATATATTATAGTAAATTATAATACATATTATCAATTTGTAGCCCAACTAAAGTAAAATTTGAAAGCGCAACTAGCCAAATAAGCCAAATTCATATTCCTTAAACTATTCCAATTAAGGGCAAACTTTTCTAGTCCCACATCATAGGGGGAGTTTGATGATGTTTCCTTGAACCCTTTATAAAGTGAGAAGTACACTCTTTTTGCAAAACAAATTATGTAAGATAACTTGTATGCATCATGGTGAAATTAATCATCATATTTAATAAAAATATTTTAAAAAGTTTTAAAAAATTTAATAAACTAAAATATATTTTTTAAATTTTAATTAAAACTAAAATAAAATATTTTTATAAACCGGCCGGTTCTTTCCAACCCGGACCGGTTCAACGGTTCACCGGTTGAACCGCCGGTTCAATCCGGTTTGATTAGGTTTGTTGCAGAGCCGGTTCTGAAGCTTTATCGGACCAGCCACTAGACCGGTTCACGATTGAACCGGCCAGTCCGGTCTGGTCCGGTTTTCAAAACAATGATCTCCTAAGCATTTTCACTTCTCTATTGGAATATTATCAGGTCCAACTGCTTTTCCACACTTTATTTTTTTAACTTCTTTAACTTCGGTTTTACAAATACGGTAATAAAAACAAAAATATTTATTTTCATTTAGTGTGCTAAGATTTCTAAAGTCAATCGTATTCTTAAAATCTTCATTGAAAAGTTTATTTAAATCTCTCATCCACCTATCTATTTGATCATCATTCTTAATGCACTTCACTTTAACTAGATTCTTACTTCTCCTATCTCTTTGCTTGGCTAACTTATAAATACATCTTTCGCCCTTCTTACTATCTAATCTATTTTTGGATCCATAAAAAATGATAGCAATATGAGAAATATTTAAACATTACCAATGGTAAACATGAGAGAATTTAAAATATTTTCTTGATATGCAATAGTTTTGGAATCATCAGCCATTTTTTTCTTTTACTTGGACAAGGTTTGTATGCGTAAAAGAAAATATGAATTGCTTTATTTACTTGCTCCTAAATTCCCTAACTTTTTTTTTATTACTAAGACAAGGTCTGTATGATTCATAATAGTTGACTTGGGAAAGAAAGTCAAATAAACATGGCATAATGAAGAAAATAAAGAATATTGACAAGAAATTAGGAAAAAAAATAACAAAGCTTAGAAGAAGAAATTCTAACCTCGCTTTGATACCATATAGAGAAGCAGAAATATAAAAAATAATAATTTTATTGTTTACTTTTTGTACATAGATTGGAGATATTTTTAGGCTCCTTTAAGGATATTACATATGGGAAAAAGAAATGTAATTTACCCAAAATAAATAAATTTTGAACAAAAAACTTTTTTTTTTTGGGGGGGGGAAAACTTTTTTTTTTTTTGGGGGGGGGGGGTGGTGGTGGGTAGGAGCAAATGGATTACAATCCTACAATTAAAAGCTATGATGCACCGACACGGACACGGCGGCATGGACACGGCATGACACGGACACGGGACACGACAATTTTTAAAAATATAGGACACGGGTGCGGCATGGACACGACATAATAAATTTTTAATATAATATATAGAAATTAAGTTGACATTATAGTAAAAATGAGAAGCAATCAACTGCGACGTAGTAATCTTATGACACATTTTTATTCCATGGCCAGAAATTTTAAGTAGATGGGCCTTCACTCTAGAATAAGATCCTTTGTAGTTGCCACCATAATAATTGCATTTGAATGACACATTCCCTCCTCCTTCAAATATTTTTCCTAATTTTGTAACATTAATTCATAACAGCTTATCAGTTTCTACAGATGGCTCTTTTGAACCTTCACCTAATCCACTCCCGCCAGCAGCAGAGCTGATTTTGCTAACAAACCAATCATACATATACATAAAATTAAATTGATATGAAGTGAAATCAAAATATCCCAATAATAAGACAACATGAATACAACAATATATCGGTCTGCCGGGGGTCCAAGGGGGCGCTGCCCCCTGGCGGGGTTTGACCTGTCCGGTCAGGTCGCGGGGTCAAGGGGCAGCGCCCTTGCGGGGGTTTCCGGGGGTAAGTTGTTTGTTTTAAAGTTCGTAAGTTATTTGTATGGGAAGATACCGAGTGGTACCGAGCATGTACCTAGCAGTACCGAGCATGTACCTAGCGGTACCGAGCATATATTGAGCAGTACCGAGTATGTACCTAGCGGTACCGAGCATATATTGAGCAGTACCGAGTATGTACCTAGCGGTACCGAGCATATATTGAGCAGTACCGAGTATGTACCTAGCGGTACCGAGCATATATTGAGCAGTACCGAGCATGTACCTAGCGGTACCGAGCATATATTGAGCAGTACCGAGTATGTACCTAGCGGTACCGAGCATATATTGAGCGGTAACGAGCATGTACTGAGCGGTATCGAGCATGTACTGAGCGGTACCGAGCATGTACCTAGCGATAGCTCATTTAATAACCGAACAAGCATGTCCGATTTTAATTTTAATTTTTTAAATTGCGACACTCCAATGCCGTGTCGGATACGTGTCCATGCCGTGTCCGACGTGCGTCCGTGTCCGACACTGCATACCCTCTTTAAGCGGAGTGTCGGTGCATCATAGATTAAAAGGGATAAGATCCAATGGCTGAGCTCCTAAATCCGCGTGCTCAGTAGATTATACTATGATTGGCCACATATTGGCATCCACAACTCCTCTACCTAAGGCTGAAATTTGGGTTGGGTGGATGTAGTAAGAAGGCGGAGGAGTGGTTCCCATGGTCTTCAACACATTTGATTGAGGTAAGTGGGTTAGATGGCCCACCATAGGGTCCCATTGTTTGTTTAGTTGTTTCGTGGCGCTACTGTTATGTTTATTTGAAACTTATGCCATAAGTATCTCTTTGAATTGATGTGGAACACATAAGTTCTAAACGAACCACACAGAGAGAGTATGTGATGTAGGTTTCCTATGCAGCGTTGTTTTTTATCTCAAATGCCTAGTACAAGCTAAAGAGTGCCCAAAAGTGAAATATTCACATTGATCTATGTATATGGAGTGAACTGAAACTTGTCACTGGATCTGGTGGACTGAGTATTTTATGATATCTGGTTGGTAGATGTAGTAAATTTAATAAGGGCTTCGGTGTACAATGTGTTTAGCTTGATGTTTTTAACATGTCAAAGTTTTAAGTTGTATTTGTGGCTTTCTTGTTTTCTTTTTCAACACCTCTGAAGGTTTCCATTTCATTCCTCTTTTTTACCATTTGGAATGTGTATGCTATTTTTCAGGTTCATCTTGTGAAATGAAGTTCCTAGATTCTACAGCTCTGCTTGTAGAACCTCTTGAGAACAAGAAATTTTCCAGATTTTCGTTGCAGTATGTAGAAATTGAAGAAAGGCCCAGCGGGACAGAAGACTGGGAACCGAGATTTGCTGGCCATCAGTCTCCTCGAGAAAGAGAACATTCATATTATGCACACGACCAAAAAATCAACTGCGGGTTTATTAAAGGTCCTCCCGGGTTACGTAATACTGGTTTTGATCTGGCAGAAGATGACATAAAATACATGAGCAGTTGCCACATAGCTGTATCTTCATGCATCTTTGGAAATTCTGATCATTTAAGAACACCTTATCTCAAAACGGTAAGCCATGAGTCATTGTTACCCATTCACTCAAATACTTGCGTATTTAGTTGATTGCATGGGCTTCATTCTTCTTTTGCTCTTTCTGATTTTTATTTTTTGTGTTTTTATTGTTAGAATGTTATGCTTGTTGCTTTGTAAGTTTCCTGCTATCATTTTGAACATTTGGATTTCCATAAGTTAGCAAGAACTTTGGTATGAATTATTGCACGAGTAATTTTTGGAAGTTATTTTCTCATCATCTTTTCCTTTGAGCCAAAAAAAAAAACCCATTTGTTCTTTAAAGGCTTTCCAGTGATCACAAATGCGTCAACAAGAGCCCTTCATTCCATGTCAACATTGATTTGAGGTATACTTGACATGTGTATGACATTCCTTAACACTTCACATATACTTGACTTATCCCAGCACCTTCCGTTATCACGAACTTTTTCTGTTAAATTCTTTCCGCTGTTGTACTGCATACTCTCAGTTTTTTGTTATTATTAGCCTATAGTATGTTCCCATGCTTCATGCTATTGTCCGCATTTAGTTTTTGTAACATTTGAATTCCTAGCAACTACTAGGATTATAGTGTATTGATAATATGATATATGCTTTTTATTGAGAGAATTTTATTATTTTTTTTCAGAACATACCGTATATTAATTTGTGAAATAATCATAATTTAGTTGGCATTTGTTGTATTATTTTTAAAATAAATTTTTTTTGTTCGAAAGATTAATTCTGGAAAGTAAGGTTGAGATAGTTATGAATGGATATTGGAAATAAAATTTTTGAGTTACATACTATTCGTGATAGGGCGATTGCTATAAAGTTAATTAACATTACAATAACAACAATATCAAGCTTTTATCTCACTATATCGGTCAGCAAAGTTAGTTAGTATTGAACATATTATTAATGTGGTTAGTGCTGATATTCCGTGAGATGAATTAGAAGTAGTTTGAAAAATTAATTTTTGAGGATATGGATAGACTATTGCAATTTATGGCTGAGGAAGAAATGATGTCTGTTAAGGGTTAACATAAAATGTACATATAGGTATTAGTATGATGGACCATTAGAGGATTTGTGGTGGTTTTGGAATTACAGGTAAAAATTCAATAGAAGTTATGTTTGATTTTACTGTACCATGTGATATTGCAATGGTGAATACATACTTTAACAAGCAAAAAGTTATGCTTAATTTCTATTATTAATGGAATCTTCAATCATCAAATCATAAAGATTTTCTTACCTAGGACTGAAATTTTTTTTAAAAAATTATAAGGTGATTTTAAAAAAATCTTTGACCATGCAACACAAAGTTGTAGTTATTAATGTATATCTTAATAGTATATGACAACCAATATAGATAATTGCATTAGAATAGAAGATGGGATTTTAAATAGGAGAAATTATTAATCATTTTAAGGTATGTTTCTAAGAGAGAAAATTATAATTTAGTCAGAACCTGATCTAAGAGAAGATGACTAGTTCTATTAAGAAAATTATTTTGGATGTTTTAGGAGAGTTTAGAAAATTTAAGTTGGGAGTTAGGAGGTACAAAATTTTAGAAAGAAAAAGTGTTTTTAAAGAGCATCAAAAGAGGATTATTATTTAGGCTTATATTGATTGCAAATGGATCAAAATGGTCCTTCGACTATGTTATTTTATTCTCGGGCTAAAAATGTATAATTTAGTCCTTGAACTTCTTAAATAGTAGCTAAAATAGTTGTAATCAAAAGTGTTGGAAATTGAAGTTTGTTAATGAATAGGTTAAAAATGAACGCATTTAGGGATATATATTCTTGCTTGAAATTTTTATAAAATCTAATTTTTTACTTGCCTTATTTTCTCATGTGCAACATTCGACTTCATGTATAACAAGAGTAGATTTAGACCATATAGGTCATTGATCAAAATGATTTATTTAATTAATAATTTTGTTTGGCATTTTTTTTTTATCTTGATTTAATTGTAATAAAATATGTTGACTTTAATTTTTTTTCATTTCTCAACAAGAAATTTTTAATTTTTCATATTTATTTCATTGAAATTAGTTTTTGATAAGAATAAAGATTTATGTTATAATACAATATAAAAGAAATCAAATAGAATTATTTATTATGAAAAAATCATCTCGCTCTACAGCATATACAATCTCAATCCACTCTAGCTGTATGCAAAGTAGGCTGTTGCATATGAGAAAATAAAGTAAATGAGAAATTAGATTTTTTTTTTAAATTTTAAAATAAAATGTCCATTTCTAAATACTTTTATTTTTAATCCTAATTGTTAACTTTAACTTCAATTTCTTGCTGTTTTGAGTGCAAAATTATTTTGTCTCCTATTTAAGGAGTCTAAGGACTAAGCTTGATAGTCATCTTAGTGTTGCATTGTGTCTATCATGAGCATTTCCATGCTCTCGTTTTCTTGCACTTGCACTGGGTATGCTCATGTTTAGCATCTTACATGGCATGTTTGTCGTGCGCGTATTTATGCATCCCACTTATGAGTAGTGAGTTTGTTGCTTGTGACTTCGGCTGGCTTTGAGCTTTAAAGTTGTAAACAGGATGATATCATTCAACTGCATAGTTTGAGCTCAATTTTTTGATCCTTGATGCCAATGCCCCATGGTGTGGGCTTTCTGATCGCTCTATGCTTGTGCTTATGTGGAGCATTTGATCGTTTTCTCCTGCATCTATGATTATCGTATTGCGTTCGTTTGTTGTTTCCCATATTTTGTCAATGTCTACTTGTAATACCCGAATCAAGAAATGTCGATTCCATTACTTGGAGTTGCCGAAAGACAAAGAGGATGAAGAAGATAATGAGTCGAAGGAGCTTGCTCTGTCATTTAAGTGTGCACCGGTTCCGTCACTTGAAAGTCGAGGGAGGCGAATGAGTCACCCGTCGAAGACGAAGCAAATATGTTGCTCCCGTTGTATGGCATTGCAACAACTGATGGGAGGAAGATGAAGATGATGAAAGGGACTAAATATGCCATTATTGATTATGTTACCTAGAATTGTGTAGGAGAGATCGAGGGAGACAAAGGAGATTGTCATTGTCTTTTGGGATTTGAGGAATATGAAGAGCTTGGGTCGATTCCTTCGTTTGGAGTCTTATGGGAGACAAAGGGGGTCGTCTTCTTACAAGTTGAGAGAGAGAGAGAGAGAGAGAGAGAGAGAGAGAGAGTATGAGTGAAGGATAGTCCTAGGATTGGGTATTTGTGCGATCGAAGAAACGATTGTTAGTTAGGGGCAAGGGCAAGACACAAACTCGATGAGAGAGGGAGACACGCGAGCGAGTGGTTAGGGTATGAGCAAGATTATTATTTTCTATTAATAAAATTTAAGTTATGTTGTAAAGAATGAGAGAGAGAAGGAAAATTTTTAATTAGAAAATATTTTAATAATTTATTTTTTTAAAATAAAATAAACTTAAGATCTTAGATAATGATTAATTATTAAATTATTATTTGAAATTTATTGATTTATAGAATTTTTTTTAAAAGAATAAATTAGTAAATATTATAAAGGAAATTTAATCTAAAATTTTATATTTTGAAAATAATTGAAAAAATATTAAGGTTTTAAATTAAAGGATAAATATATATATCAAGGGAGAGAGAGCCTAAATTATATAAATTCATAAGAGATTTAATTAAAATAATATTGATACATCACCAAAATTGCCTTCATCAGACACAAATCTCAAAGCATATATGAGCTGACAACTTTTAAAATAAAATTCAAGATCATCCAAATTTCAATTTAAGCAAACTTATAGTCAAATTGAATGTTTCGAAGAGAAGAATCCAACAACACCAAAATTGGTACAATCCGAGCCCAAATGGGTCCAAATCAAGGGGATGAATCGCATTTGAAAAGTTCAAAACATAATTTGGATGATCATATGATATCCAAATATAACATGCTTATAGTCGAATTGAGTAGCTCGACGAGACAAATCCAACAAGCATAAGATCGCTCAATTCAGACATTATTAAGGCAATTAAATGCATGAATAAATGCTATATGATCAAGGGAATCGATATGAGTCGTCCGATGAAGCACTCCGAATTTGACCTAGATCTTCTTTATATTTACAATGCATGTCAGTCACAAAAATCTATAAATAAGCCCATGCTCTTTTCATGAAAGGATCTTTTGGATGGAGATTGGAGAAAGCTTTGATGCTTCAAGGATCTTATAGTTCTACCCAAGCAACACTGTCGGCGAACTTTCAACAATCACCAACGGACCACCGCCTGGGCGCCGATCATTGCCCTTATGCCTACTTTCGTTGAACCCCCGCTCATTCTGCCGACTGCCGTTGTACCCCCAGTAGTCCGCAGACTATCATCGGACCACTACTTGTATGTCGACCATCTTCGGACCCTTGCCCATACGCCGACCGTCGCCAGACCACTGTTAGTGCGCCGACCGTCGCTAGACCACCGCCTGTCCGCCGACCGTCATCGGACCTCTGCCTGGCTGTCGATCGTTGATGGGCCACCACTTGTTTATAAATCACCATCGGACCTCCGCTTGGCCACCATCGACGAACTTTCGTTAACCACCACCAAACCACCGCTTGGCGCTGACCATCTTCGAACCATCGCACGTTTGCCAACCGTTGTCGGATAACCGCCTATCCTCAAGCTGTCATCGGACCACCGCCCGTCATCCGCCGGACCACTACCCATTCACCGACCGTCGCGGGACCTCGGCCTGGCCGCTGAGCATCGTTGGACTACTGTCGTATGTCGATCACCATCGGATATCTGCCCGACCGCTGACCGCCGCTTGACCTCTGCCCGTTTGCCATCGACACCACTTCAACCACCGCCACCTGCTGACTACGGTCCCTCCAACTACCATCGCCTGCTTATTATGCTCCCTTCGACCACCGTCACCCGTCTATTATGGTCTCTCCAACCACCGTCGCCTGCCCACTACGATCCTACCAGCCACCGTCGCCTTACTACAGTCCCTCAGGCCACCATTGCT